TATTTCCTACCAAAAGTCCACTTTCTGGTTAAATAAGGGCTCATAGGACATAGGAACTGGCTGAAAATGTATGATCAGGTAAAACCAATAATTCGATTTTTTGAAAAATTCGATAAAAATCAAAAATTTTAATAAAGATTTTATTTTACTTAATTCAAAAGCTGTACATCCTTTTTCTTTTGACATCATTCCATATTTTGCACGCACTTTGTTGCAAAATAACATGTTTCTTTTTAATTAAAATTTAAAAGTTATTTATTTATTTTTTTCTTTAAAGCTCAAAAAAAAAACTCAAGACACGTTTTCTTCCGAATGATTTTGCAAAAAAAATAAAATATTGAGAAAAGGGCTTGTCTTGCATTTAAAAAAATCGGAACTGGGCAAAAAAGAGAAAGCTGTTTTTATTTTTTTTTTTTAATTTAGTTAGCCGCTGGCTAAACTACAGAATGACCAATATTCGTTCAATGTACAATATGAAGATTCCATAAATTAATCCTGCATAACAACTGGTCAACAAAAAAATTAAATTGCACGCAATATTAACATGTTGCTGAGACGAGTTTTTAAACGCATAACCAAGCAATTGGAGCAATTGTGTAAAATTTCGAAATCCAATGCATTTTGGATTGTTTTCCCCTTTTTTTAATTTAAAGAGTTGGTTTTTATATAAAAATAGTATTTTTTTTGACGCAAAAATCGTGCATAAATGGGCACAAACGTATTTACAGTGTCATGTAATGGATAAAGATGATAATAACGTCGACGTCTACGATGATAATGCATCTAAAGTAGTTTTTACAAGTAATATATGAATTGTAAAAATAATAACAATAAAAATTATTTTAATTTTTAAAATGAGCTATACTCGAAAAAGTGGCATGATTTTTTAATAAAGCAGCTAACCAAACTTTAATATTAACAACTATTCTGCTTCTCTTTTGACTCAGCTACAGCAATATCAGCTGAGGAAGATCTTTAAAATTGCAAAGAGTCCGTTAAAATTTAAGTTTTTTGCACTAAACAGATGTAGTATATAAACAATTCTCCTTAACTCAGATATACTATTAACTTTTTTAAATCACTTACAAATCAACTTATATTTTGTAAGTTTTACGAAAATGGATTACTAAGTTAATTTTTACGACACCATTGATATTGAAAATATTTATTGTCTTACGATTTTTTATTTGTTTTTGTAATTCAATTTAAACTTGAATCAGGATTAACAACTAAATTAAATGCAAAAACATGACTAGACGACAAGGTTTTGGAAAATCCATAAATTTGTCTCTTTTTATATTTTTATATAAAAGTTGTAAATTGATACTCTACCAGGGATTACATGGAATCTTTAATGGTTTTCAAGTAGTTAAAATATAAAACAAACATTTTGTAAAAACCAACCAAATAAATAAAGTAGTTTAACAATGAAATAAACTGTTTTAATGGTTAACATTACATCAGTAGCATTTTTTTTTTTTTTTTTTTTTTGAAAATGACATCCAAACCAACAGGCGTTCATGTCAGTAATATTTACATTGGCAGCATGTATGTAAATAAACAACAACAACAGTCATGAAAATAATAATCATAACAGTAACTCAAATGACAGCAGATATAAACAAACAAACAAACGCCTTCAGAAGCTACAGAAGTCTCTAATGTGAGATGTGTTTTACAGTGGAGCAAAAAATGTAATAAATTTAAATTTTATTTAAATAATTTTTGTAAAGAATTGTCACAAAATTGAAAGGCTTTACGAGTTTTAATATGTTTAAATTCCCCAAAAATATAGTGTACTGTTTGATAGAAATCGGACCACATTTGAGACTATCCCACATATAAGGCCCGCCTCAGGAAGTAATTTTCTAATGGGGGCCTTATATTTGTGATCAAGATTTGTATTATTAGTACGTTGAAGAAAGCCTTATGCTTTAGACTTCGGTCCATAATTGTCTCAATACTCTGAAAGAGATTTTTACATATTTTTCTTCTCTAAATAAAAAATTTTTATAAAACTCCATATTTAGAAGAAGAATTTGGAATGATATATGTTTATATCTAATTTTAAACACTATATTTAAACCACTAAATAAGATTTAGAACTACTTAACTAGATTAAAACGAAATTAAATAGTTGATAAGAGGTCCAGTTGAAAGAACAATTACTCGTTTTCAATTCGAGCAGCCTATTGTCAGTAGGATATACCTCAAAGTGTCGTATTGTTCATGAGCATATTGAAAAAAAGGGTGGCATGTCATAATGTCCAGGGATTCTAAGAAATTTTTAAAGCAGACATGTATTGGAGTATTTGATTAAAATTACAGAGTCACTCTTTTCCTGGATATGATTGCTCCTAATTTTGGTGGAATTTGTATTTTCGATTCCATTAAAAAGTCTCTTGTTCAAGGCTTTTAAACTCTTGGGTATTGCGTCTTTTTAAGCCTTTTCTTGATAAATCGGCTTTTTCTAATACATGGACCATGGCGGAACTAGATGAAGTGTGACCTAGACGGTCATTTATGAAGATAAGAAATAGGGTAGGAGAAAGAACGGAGCCTTGCGGTATCCCTGAATTAATCTTGAACTCGTTTGATGAGACCCCATCTATAACAACTCGTATAGTGCGATCTCTGAGAAAGTTCGAAATAAATCGAGTCAAGTTATTACCGACACCAAATGCAGTAAGTTTTGATACAAGTGCACCATGCCACAATGGAATGACATGACAGAAGATCTCCCGTAGAACGACCTCTATGAAAGCTATACTGGCGGTCGCTAAGTAAATTGTTGGTCTCTAGATATTTGACAAGATGGAAATTAACCATACTTACTTTGGAAAGTGCAAAACAAATTGCAATTGGGCGATATTTTTCAGGGTTATTAGCCTCTCCCTTTTTAGGAATTGGCGTGACACTAGCAATCTTCCAGCATGTAGGAAATTTTCCGGCATGGTTTAAGATGTTGAAAAGATTAGCCAACAAAATATGTTGATGGGTGTATATTGATTTTGTCATTCGGTAACTGTTTTAAAAATCTGTTTACAAATTTTATTAGAATCGGTCCATTTAATGACCCTACCTAACCCATATAAGGTCCCGTTCCCTACCTACCTGATTATAGCGATGAAATTCGACATAAACAAGTTCTATAAAAACGAAATCTATGTACAAAATTTTATGAGTATTGGTTCATCTTAGCGCCTTTACCCTAAGTTTATCATCAATATCTCTCTTAAGTTAGTCCTCATATGTAAAGTACCTTTACGAACATTTTGGTACCTTTTGTATTAGCACTTAAAAATCGGGGTATAATCGGATACAAAGAACTAAGTCCTTATATACAATCGCAGTACATTAACTATGAGTATAAAATCTATTTAAAAATCAGATCTGGTCCTAACCAGGTGCAACCATGGTACATATTTAGGCCTCAGAAGGTACAATGGTACTTTTTGTTCTCATGCTTTTTTATTAGAAATGTAATTTAACATATAGCGAAGAAGTTTTCAAAAGTTTTGGAGCGATTTTCTGAAATGTATAAAGTTAGTAGCTTAAAAATACTAAGTTTGGCTTAATCTGAAAATTTGAGTCCATGATTTCAGGGATGGGCACTGTTAAATTTAAAAAAAAAAAATACTCAGTTGTAATAAAGTTTTTTTTTTTCCCAAAAATTAATCAAAAATAACAAAGAAATTTAGAAACTTTGTTCACTTTTAAAAACGTTATGTCAAATACTTATATAACAAAAAGTTTAGAATTAATAATATTTAAATTTAAAAAAGGAAAACAATAGCAATTTAAAATGTTTATAGAAAGCAAGGTCATTTCATAATGAAATCTTTATAATTTGCAATTAAATGGACTCATTATGCTTATTTGCGTCATACTTATTTATTTAAATTAAATTAATTTAATTTGAATACAAAATTAAGTTTTACATACATACATATGAAGCTAGGATGACTAATAATCCTGTATTTTAAAAATGATTTCATTAAAAATAATAAAACTCTTTAGTTTTTATTTTAAAAAAATAAAAAAGTTAAACGAAATTTGAACTATTTTTAAATAAAAATATGTCAATGGTAAAAATTTTGAAATAATACAAATAATGTGTAAGCTTTAAAATAACTCAAATTAGTTGAAATAATTTATGTTTACGACTTTTTAATGGAATGGAATGCATAGAAATAGATTAATTTTCAATTAAATTTACTACAGCTGTGGACTTTTAATTCAAACAATCATAATGATTTAGTAAGTGAATGCAAAGTAGCAAAAGACATGTTTGCAAAAATCGAAGTGAATCAATTAAGTAAAATCTATTTTTTTACTATTTGTGTTACTATCTCAAACCCACTGTGCTTTAAATTTATAAAGATTTATGTGAGAGATACACATGTTCAGATACGGCAGCACTAGCACTATCATATGGAGCACAGAAGTTGCTAAAGTTGTCGTAACTGATTTAAAGACGAACCTGATTGCTTGAGTCACTGTAAAACTAAGAAATTTTGCGGTCTTAAATAATGACTGACTGCGAGTCTGTGTGTGTGTCTGTCTGACTGATTCAAAGCTGTCATAAGTGGCATAAATTGCTAAATCATGTGTCTTCAAATTCAATGAGAATCGTCAGAGTCAAGTCATGTGGTGTGTATATAAAGTTGTAAAATATTTAAAAAAACTGAGTGATGTTGCAATTTGACAATCTACAAACAATGTATCTAGATATTTAAAGATTTATTTGTTTTGTTTTTGTGCAAAATGAGATGTGACATTTTTACAAAAGATGCAAAATAGTAAAAATTTACAACGGATTTTAAAATAATTTCGTTTTTTTTTTGCACTAAATAATCTAGATAATCTTTAACAAAACTAACTATAAATCTTTAAATTTAAAGGTTTTTTATACTTGAGAAAAAAATGTAGCTGTCTTAAATCTTTTGTTTTTACACTTATGGATTTTCAAAATATTAATTTTTTTTGTTTCTTTTCAGATGGTTCTCCTAAAACTCCCATGACTGTTACCCCCATACAAGGACCTATTTACCTCAAAAATGGTACAGTACCTGTGGTGCCATTGTTCCACTATCCCAGCTTTAATAATGGTTCATTTGTTCAAATACCTGTAAGTAAAAAATAGAAAAAGTTTAAATAACTTGACATTTATCATTAATTTTCTAAGTCTACAGAACTTGTATACTTGAGTAATTCATCAATTTAGTCGAATAATTTCGTCAGACATAATGCATGTACTTCACATAACAAAAGTAGGCTTGGAAGGTTAAAATGTTATACATAATTACTTCATCATCAGTCTTAACAAAAAAACAAAAAATCTTAGAATTCATAATTGTTAATTAACAACAATCAGCAGACACTACGCAGTAAAGTTTTAAAAGCAAAAAAAAAATAAACTGAAAACATTTTTAACTCGACAAAAAGCGTTAGATGCACAAATTTTCAATGTAAGATTTATCAGATTCCAAGAAATTTTCTATAGACAAAATCTTTTAGATTCTGAGAAGTTTTTTTTGTGAAGAATATCTCATACATTCTGAGAGAATTTTTTATAGACAAAATCGCTCAGATTCTGAGAAATTTCTGAGATTATGAAAAATTTTCTATAGACAAAATCTCTCAAGATTCTGAGAAATTTTCTATAGACAAAATCCCTTTCCCAAAATCCCAAAATCAGAAATTTTCTATAGACAAAATCTCTCCGTTTTTGAGAAATTTTCTATAGACAAAATCTGTCAGATTCTGAGAAATAGTCTATGGAGAAAATCTCTCAGATTCTGATAAATTTTGAATAGACAAAATCTCTCAAGGTAATGAGAAATTTTCTATAGACAAAATCTCTTAGATTCTGAGAAATTTTCTATAGACAAAATTTGTCAGATTCTGAAAAATTTTCTATAGACAAAATCTCTCAGAATCTAAGAAATTTTCTACAGACAGAATCTCTCAGAATCTCTAAAATTTTCTATAGGCAAAATCTGAGAAATTTTCTATAGACAAAATCTTTCAGATTTTGAGAAATTTTTTTATATAAAATTTTTCAGATTCTTAGAAATTTTCTATGGAGAAATCTCTCAGATTCTGAAAAATTTTCTACAGACAAAATCTCTCAGATTTTGAGAAATTTTTTATAGACAAAATCTTTCAGATTCTGAGAAATTATCTATAGACAAAATCTGTCAGATTCTTAGAAATTTTCTATGCAAAAAACCTCTTAGATTCTGAGAAATTTTCTATGGAGAAAACTCTTAGATTCTGAGAAATTTTGTATAGACAAAATCTCTCATATTGTAGACCTTTTCTAAATCTCTGAGATTTGAAGAAATAATGTTTTATATTTTGAGAAATTTTCTCTAGACAATATGTCTAAAATTCTGTCATAGATTCGAAGAACTTTCTTTGGCAAAAATGTTCCACATTGCTCTCTAAGAAGATTCTGAAAAAAACCAAATGAATAACAAGCAAAAAAAATAGAATTGCATCGGCCGGGAATCGAACCCGGGCCGCCCGCGTGGCAGGCGAGCATTCTACCACTGAACCACCGATGCTTGCTGCAAGTTGCTATTTCAAAACTCAATATGTTGATATAAACTTCATTACAATTCCTAAGATTACTTTGATTTATGAAAGTATTTGCAGTAATCTTACGAATTGCAAAGGAGTTTATTTGTTTTGCTTAACTTTAAGTGCTACAAAACCGACTCAAAGTCATCACATTCCTTTACAAATAGGTTTTTTTTATTACTCAGAATAAATACCTTTGTTTAATTGTTTAAATTATAATTATGCATTTTATTACAGTTTAGTGTAGTTGGGTTTTAACACTTATTAAAAACTGCTAATTAAATTTAACGTTTATAAAGTAACAATTAAAAATTTTCTTTCTGTTTGCAGTATAGTTCGAGAAAAAAATAAAAAAAAAATTTTTTACGACTCTAACGAAAACGATGTTGACCTTCATAAAAATTTGTTAAAAAAAAACGAAATAAAATAACAAAAAAAAAAAAATAAACTGAAATTATTTCCGCAAACGTATCAGCAAAACATGATCGAAAATTTAAATCAATTGATAAAATAAATTTTAAGTAAAAAAAACACAAACAGCAACGCGCAAATTCGCTACATTTAAAGCCGGCTTTTTTGTTAATATTTTGTTATTTTTTTTTTTTTTTGTATTGTACTTTATTTATTTTATTTTGCCAGTTTGTAGTAATTTTGAAAAACTGGTTAAAAAGCAATAGGCCAGACACATTCATCGATTGTCAGCGAAAGATTAGTGCGTGTGAATTTTATTTTATTTAAAAGAAGAAATATAGCGGCATTATGACTTTTGAGGCGATCAAATGTGTTAAACAGAAAAGCAAATATTAATGAGGCCATCTTTGGTAAATATCGCAAATACCCTACACTCATATGAAACAATGTTAAAAATTGCACATAGTATGTACACTGTACATGGTTCAAGTTACCAAAATAAGCTTTGGCAATTTCTTCAATAGATGACCGAAGCAAAAATCTAAGTGGTTAAAAACTTCAGAGGCCTATATAAATGAAAACACAGTTGGTTTCCATTTCTATATAACTAGATCTGGAATAGCAATAGCGCCTTCAAACGGACGTTTACCTAGGATTTGATTTGTGTTAATCAAACTTAAAATCCTGAAAAAAATGGAATTGCATCGGCCGGGAATCGAACCCGGGCCGCCCGCGTGGCAGGCGAGCATTCTACCACTGAACCACCGATGCTTGTTGATATGTATTAAACAATTATTCCTATAAAATTCAGAAAACCCCTTACTAAATTTGCTTTCTTCTTGTACTTCAATACAACTCAAAGATAGATAAGAAAAATTGTTTTATTTTCGGCACAATTTTATTGTAATTTTTGAGAACACTAGTATTTTAAATGTCTTACACGCTCCACATGTATAATTAAATTGTTTAAAATTTAGGCAAGATTTAAATTACTGATGATCTTTGAAGCAACCTTAAGCCATTCCTTTTCCATCACTTTATCATCTTTTGTGACATTTATGAAGGTTTATTTTTTTTGTTGTTGTTACAACAAATAACCTAGATTTGGTTTATTAGAGTTGTTGGTTGGTTGATTCTTGAAAGGTCTTTAGAAAGGCTCTTGATGTTGTATGTGGATGACTGCTGCAATATGCACATTATTGCATCAAATTGCAAAATGCCAATTATACAAATTGTATTAAGACTTCATATAGTAGAACTCTAAGCAGATGTATAACTTTAAAGACGTGATATTATTCTTATTTTTAAATGTTCTTTTTGTTTTAGAAATAAATAATTACTAACGATGCAAGTTAAATTTGTTAGCTAGAAGATATTTCATTTTAATAGGCAAAATATTTGAACACAAATTTACAATTTCCATTTTAAAGATAAAGTTTTTGTAAATGTATAAAGATTTTATTAATAGCGTCTAAAATAGGGCCAAAAGTTTATTTTTGACGATATCTCGATCAATCAAGAAATTTTCTATAAAGAAAATGTCTTAGATTCTGAGAAATTGTCTATAAAGAAAATGTCTCAGATTTGGAGAAATTTTCTATAAAGAAAATGTCTCAGATTTGGAGAAATTTTCTATAAAGAAAATGTCTCAGATTTGGAGAAATTTTCTATAAAGAAAATGTCTCAGATTTGGAGAAATTTTCTATAAAGAAAATGTCTCAGATTTGGAGAAATTTTCTATAAAGAAAATGTCTCAGATTTGGAGAAATTTTCTATAAAGAAAATGTCTCAGATTTGGAGAAATTTTCTATAAAGAAAATGTCTCAAATTCTGAGAAATTTTCTATAAAGAAAATGTCTCAAATTCCGAGAAATTTTCTATAAGGAAAATGTCTCAGATTGTGAGAAATTTTCTATAAAGAAAATGTCTCAGATTCTGAGAAATTTTCTATGAAGAAAATGTCTCAGATTCTGAGAAATTTTCTATAAAGAAAATGTCTCAGATTCTGAGAAATTTTCTATAAAGAAAATGTCTCAGATTCTGAGAAATTTTCTATAAAGAAAATGTCTCAGATTCTGAGAAATTTTCTATAAAGAAAATGTCTCAGATTCTGAGAAATTTTCTATAAAGAAAATGTCTCAGATTCTAAGAAATTTTCTATAAAGAAAATGTCTCAGATTCTGAGAAATTTTCTATAAAGAAAATGTCTCAGATTCTGAGAAATTTTCTATAAAGAAAATGTCTCAGATTCTGAAAAATTTTCTATAAAGAAAATGTCTCAGATTCTGAGAAATTTTCTATAAAGAAAATGTCTCAGATTCTGAGAAATTTTCTATAAAGAAAATGTCTCAGATTCTGAGAAATTTTCTATAAAGAAAATGTCTCAGATTCTGAGAAATTTTCTATAAAGAAAATGTCTCAGATTCTGAGAAATTTTCTATAAAGAAAATGTCTCAGATTCTGAGAAATTTTCTATAAAGAAAATGTCTCAGATTCTGAGAAATTTTCTATAAAGAAAATGTCTCAGATTCTGAGAAATTTTCTATAAAGAAAATGTCTCAGATTCTGAGAAATTTTCTATAAAGAAAATGTCTCAGATTCTGAGAAATTTTCTATAAAGAAAATGTCTCAGATTCTGAGAAATTTTCTATAAAGAAAATGTCTTAGATTCTGAGAAATTTTCTATAAAGAAAATGTCTCAGATTCTGAGAAATTTTCTATAAAGAAAGTGTCTCAAAATATCTCACATTCTGAGAAATTTGCTCTTAATAAAATGTCTTGAATTCTAAGAAATTTGATTCTAAGAAAATGTCTTAGATTCTGAGAAATTTGCTCTTAAGAAGATGTCCTGAAATTTTCCATGAAGAAAATATTCCAAATTTTAAAAAAGTTCTGTAAAGAAAATGTTCAATATTCTGAGAAATTTCTCAGATTGTGAGACTTTTTACAACAAAGTTGTTTTAGCTATTCCGTTTTTTCAGATATTCACTTAGATTCAGATGTAGAAAAAGGAAGGATTGCATCGGCCGGGAATCGAACCCGGGCCGCCCGCGTGGCAGGCGAGCATTCTACCACTGAACCACCGATGCTTATACTAAGCATTAACAAGATAAATGAACATCATCTTCATTTGGATGCTGTCTGCATCTTAATTTCTAGTTTTCAAAACTAGTTTTATGAAAAAATGCAAGAGCGTCTTGAAAGATGTTCAGTACAGTATGACCAGGTCTCAAAAAATGTTGCGGCTAAATCCCATCCAAAATAATGCTAGAAAAAATGCTAAATAGATTTTAAAATGCCAAAAAAATGCTAAAATTTTTTAAGTGTTTTTATGAACAATTCATATTAATTTGTAACTGAAATTCATTGTAATTTATAACAAGTAAGAAAGTATATTCTGCCGTGGTTGACCATATGAGTATAAAATTTGATTTATTTTTCGTAATAAAGCATTTATGTTAAATTGAACCTTGGTTCCGATATATTTAAACTAATTTTCTGAGAAAGGCTTTATACATTTGTATATGTATGGGGGCTAGATAAAATAAAGGACGGACTTTTACCATTTTTAAAAGGTTTTGTCATTGGATCAAAAAGCATACATGCTTATTGTTTTGAAAATTTCAACCTCTACCAGACAGTCAGACTTACATGGCTTAATCGATTCAGAAAATGATTCTTAACCGATTAGTATACTCAAACGTAGTATAGTGGAGTAGGGTAAAAAATTAAGTTCCGTGGTATTATGATAAACAGAAATGCTAAAAATTATTTCAAAATTTTTGTAAATTTAGCAATATGCAATGTCTCTAACTTTAAAATATTTCTGAATGCAAAAATTACATTAAAACTCTATTAACTACACTAGTTGCTCATGGTATAAAACCTATATGTGTTTTCGTAAGGAAAAGTATAATATTTCTAGTTTTACTTTTTTTTTTATATAAACAATTTTATTTTTCTTCCTCAAAACACTTTAAAAATGGTTTTCATCTTACAAAAATATTGAAAATTCCGTTGAAATAATTTTAAATCTTGGTGAATAGATGTCAGGTTAATAACTCATACTTCCAAGATTTTTTCGGAAAAATATATATGAGAATGTATGAAATGAATTGAGAGATATATTCAAATCCGTAAGTTTGTAATTCTGGAATAAATTGTCAATAATATTTTCGAAATTTATGTATTTTTTTTTAATTAAAAAAAAAAACGTGACAACAAAATTACTAAAAATTTATAAAAATAAAAAGAACAGAAAGTAGGATGAGAAAGTCTTAATTATATATTATTGATTTTTTTCAATACTTATTTTCAATAAATTAACAAGAAGTCCTGAAGGATGATAAAAATTAAAACCTCTTTATTTCGTATAGGAAAAAATAAAATTTATTAATTAACCGTCATACATAGCCTTTTCCAAAATTATATGTTTCATTCCATGAGCAAACAAAAAGTATTAGTTTATAAAATAGCGTACTGAACGTATTTGTAAAAATATATGAAATCTCTTGAATTATTTCTATCACCTCGAATTTAAAAAAGCATTGGGTTCCAGAAAAATATTTTAGAATACAACATTTTAAAGTATTCACTTGTATTGGCGTAATTTTAAGTTATTTATCTTCATTAATCTTTTTGCATTATTTTGAATTACAGTGTAAATTATTACATTTCTCATATTTCTTGTTGCTTGTGTTTGGGTAGACTTTTAATTGTGATTTTTCCGGTTAAACCTATTTCCAATATAAATCTTTTTTGCAAAAATTTGTCTTTTTTTTTGTTTATATACTAAAATTGCAAAAAAGCTAGAAATGCTAAAAATATTTTATAAAAATGCTAAATAAAATGCCAAATGCTAAATTAAAATTTTACAGCTAAATCAAAATAAAAAATGCAAAATCTAGCTGCAAAAATGCCAAAATGGTCACACTGGTTCAGTATGTAGTTTAAATTTAAATACCCAATAGAAATTATATGCCAATATCACACATAACTATTTGTAGTGTATTAACTGATCGTTACGTTAACATTTTCGAAAAAAAAAAATTCTTATAATAGTTGTCCATATAACATATGATTGGATTAGTTGTAATGCAACTTAATTAATTGGAATTGCATGAAATATAATTGCAGATTATAAAATAACTATAGTTCATAAAGTTAGTTTGACTAGAAATTAATAGTGAAACTAAAGAGAAATTAATGTTATTAGTTGTAGAGCTTTACCAAACGTTTAATCTAATAGTTGTCATAAGTGAGTATTTATCGATCCATTTACATAAATTGAATGAAACCATTCCGTTAATATTTATGGCAAATAAATGTTCATTTATGTAAATATTAGCGAGCTTTTAAAACAATATTAAATTGTAAATATACAGTATAATATGCCAATATGATTTATATTAAAAACGGCTCAATTTTTCATTACACTTATCAAGTTAATAAATAAAATTGACAAAGTTGCCATTATTTGAATTTTAAAATGTTTTGAATGAATTTAAATATGTATTTAGTTTGTTTCAAATCTCGGCGTTTTGTTAAAACAATTTAAATCAAAGATATGTACATTAAAGTCAGTTTTAACATATTATTGTTAGATCTGCATTTACTTCCTATTGGGTAGAACAAAATTAAAATGTTACTCAACAATTTCTAATACAATAATAATTCATTCATTCTTTTGTAAGTTCTGTTAACAAATAATCCGTTACTTTTAGATAAAGTTCTAAGCACGTGTTGACTCACACTACGTGCGTTTTATGCATTTCATTAGATTTAAAATGATGTTGTACAACAAACATAAATTTTTCTTTAAATTTTAATAACTATTTTACAACTTTTACATTTTATTATATTGACAATTTCCTTTGTGTGTTCTTTTTTTTTTGGTTTTCCTTTATAGATTTGGTGGACAGCCTTATCAGTGGCTTTGGGTTTGGATGTACGTGGAGACTTGATAAAGGGTGTGCCCTGCATAAAACGTTATCATCAATTGTTTTGCCCTACAGCCGGCAATAGTTATCCCATGTAGGTATTAAGTATTCACAACAAATAATTACTTTTTCACAAAATATTAAAAACTTTAACCTTAGGAAGACTAATAAATTATTTAACATTAACCTTTAATGTCAATGTTAATTTAAAAAAGTTCAAAACAAATTTCTAAAATTAATTATAATTAATTTTTTACCAACTGATAATTTGTAAAAATTAAACATTAACTATTAGCAGTAACTATTAATTTGCTTTAAAATATTAAAAAAAACAACACACTTCTCAAAATTAGTTCGAAAACCATCACGTCAAAAAGCATTCATCATTTAATTAGTATTGATCAGCAATTAATAATTGACCTACTAATACTTTCAAGGTCCCCACTTAAAGCCCAACAACTTTTAAGTGTTTAACTAAATTAAATAATTAAAATTTGTTTAAAAACAAAAAATAAAATTAAAAAAACTACCACAAATACAAGTTTAATGTATTTAAAAGAGTGAAGGGAGCGTATTTTAAAGGTTCTTTAACCTCTCTCTTTCTCTCTTGAAAACGTCAAAACAAAAACACAAAAAAAACCTGTCAATTACGTTAATAATTTTATTTTAAAATTTAATTTGCATTTCGAATATTTATAACCGACGACAGGTTTCATTAATACAAGTAATTAACTAAATTAACAGCAACAACATTCTAGACATTGATTTAAACAAAAACAAACAAAAAAATCTTGTAATACAATTTAGAAAAACGTGCAAAAAGAGGCAGGTTTGTGATGAATAATCAATGAGTAACGGAAATAAATTAAAGATTCTGAAGAGGGGCTTTCCGTTGTATGAGTAAAAATATGAAAATTAAATTTCACTAAAAGTTTTTGCCGGGCTATTTTTAGATGCCCGGGTAGCTCAGTCGGTAGAGCATTGGACTTTTAATCCAAGGGTCCAGGGTTCAAGTCCCTGCTCGGGCGAGACGAATATTTTTTACGCCCTCACTTTTCGGAACGAGTTTTCAAAAATTCTCTCCGACGTTTCAAACGATCAATACAGGCCCGGATACCTCAGTCGGTAGAGCATTGGACTTTTAATCCAAGGGTCCAGGGTTCAAAAGTCCCTGCTCGGGCAGTTATATATTCTTTACATGTGTTTTTAATATAATCTTCCTATACATAAGCACGTTATATATAAGCCATGTTTATCTTATTCTAACCCATAATCGAATATTTTTTAATTATTTACATTATTTTACACCCAAATTACGCAATACCCTGGGGGCCTATGATCTACAACCTGCCCGGGTAGCTCAGTCGGTAGAGCATTGGACTTTTAATCCAAGGGTCCAGGGTTCAAGTCCCTGCTCGGGCGATTGAAATTTTATTATGTAAATTTCAATGTCCTTAGTTTTTATTTAAAAGTTATCTCTAATAAAAATCCCATATGATAACCATTATTTAAATATGACTCTAGTAACTTTTACTTAAAAAGTTCTAAATTGCATCGGCCGTGAATCGAACCCGGGCCGCCCGCGTGGCAGGCGAGCATTCTACCACTGAACCACCGATGCTACATGGTTTCTGATAAATAAAAATCTACATGAACTCAACTTCTTGTTGAGAAATATATAAAAGTAATTCCGAATGAATTGTATGTGCCCGGGTAGCTCAGTCGGTAGAGCATTGGACTTTTAATCCAAGGGTCCAGGGTTCAAGTCCCTGCTCGGGCGATATTCGCCTTTTTATAATTTAAACTAATTTTAACAAAAAACTTAAGGTCCAGTATCTCAAACTCCGGTTATCCTTTAAAAGATATTTGGCAGGATTAAAATAACCAGACAATAAGTTTCAACATAATGTTGTTAAAAGACTCAATTGTTATCCTTAAAGAAAAACTAGGATAAGGAAACATTTTTATAACTATTTCTGCACACAGAATATTGCAATGTACATGAGAATGAAAATTATATCATTTCAATAAATTTAAGAAAAAAACTGGCATTTGGAAAAAATATTAAGGATTATTTTCCTCGACATCATGTGCCCGGGTAGCTCAGTCGGTAGAGCATTGGACTTTTAATCCAAGGGTCCAGGGTTCAAGTCCCTGCTCGGGCGATTATTTTTTTTAAATAAATATAATTAACTCCACTCATGATAAATACCCAACAGTTCTACAAAGAGTCAATGCATTCGTAAAAGACTGTGATTTCCACTAACGTCTAACTACCTGGTTGTCTCCAATACGTCTTTGGTTACGGATGTACTCTTTGTAAACGAGGTTGCAGATAATCTTCACATTAGTGTCCCATTTGTTAGCGAGAAAGTGGACACTAAAAAAAACAAATTTAAGTTTTTTGTCTGACTTCTTCATAGGACAAGCACATGTTAAAATGGCTGGTAGGTTAAATAGTTAGGTCGGGACTGTGCGTCCGAACTACTGGATAATTAATTAAAACAAATACTCCTACATCTGAATTTTTTATTCTAAAAGTCTTACAAAAAATTTTATTTGCATCGGCCGGGAATCGAACCCGGGCCGCCCGCGTGGCAGGCGAGCATTCTACCACTGAACCACCGATGCTATATAACGGTACCTCAAAAACTGTGTATTAAAAAGATTATACACTAGCAGAGCTTAAGATTTTGGTGAAGACATTTCGAACAAGAAACCTTTGATTTAAAGGCATGACATATACAACTAAAATCTTTAAATTTATTTAACGTCTCAAATATGAAAAAACGGGAGGAGTTTTTCTAAATTTAAGACACGATATCTGGAAAACGTGTAACTTTTAGCATGTGAAATAATGATATGTTCTCAAATTACATTTTTGCATTAAATTAGATGTTAAATAAACAATTACTGTTTAAATTCTAAAACTTGATAGGCACTTCTTATGTGCCCGGGTAGCTCAGTCGGTAGAGCATTGGACTTTTAATCCAAGGGTCCAGGGTTCAAGTCCCTGCTCGGGCGATTAATAATCTTTTGTTTTTCGCTAAACGTATTTTATGCGAAGTTTTTAAGCTTTCTATTAAGCAACAAATCTAATTTAATCAAAATATAAATTATGCATCGGCCGGGAATCGAACCCGGGCCGCCCGCGTGGCAGGCGAGCATTCTACCACTGAACCACCGATGCTACATGTGCTTTATAAGTCTCTCATACATCACAATTGTCCAAAAGCTATTTATGCAACGTTGCCACGTTTAGTTCTTAAAGGACAACTGATGCATTTTTTGTAATTCTCAAAAACTATTTTCAAATTTCCGAATATTGTCAAAAGAGACGTTACACCACGTAAATTATATTGCAATTTAAAACAATTTCATAATTGATGTTCATATGTATGTACATATATAAAGTCCTGTAGGACATCGATATTTGGCAATACTAATTTATAGTCCGAATCAAAAATAAATTTAATGTATGCCCGGGTAGCTCAGTCGGTAGAGCATTGGACTTTTAATCCAAGGGTCCAGGGTTCAAGTCCCTGCTCGGGCGATTGAAGTTTTTTTTCATTATACAAGTGAAAAATAAATCTCTTTTTAACCCTGATGCATTATTTAAACATTATTGGTTAAATACAATTTACATAAAAATGAGAATTGCATCGGCCGGGAATCGAACCCGGGCCGCCCGCGTGGCAGGCGAGCATTCTACCACTGAACCACCGATGCTTCATGAGAATTACAAAAGTTCTCAATTACACAAATATGTAAATACATATGTATGTATTTAAATATTTTGCTGCGTCGCCGAATTTCACTTACTCTGTTTATTTCTAAAAATAAAGATGTATATATTAAAAAAGCTCTATATCATCTACACGAACTATAAAGGAACTATTTTAGTCATATTTGGAAGAATACGAGGAACCGGTCCTATAAAGCCGAGATTTGCTTTCGTGTTTAATACAAGATGCATTTTTCTATTGCATATTATTGCATATAATCTAAAATTCATGAAAACCCAAGACCATATATGCCCGGGTAGCTCAGTCGGTAGAGCATTGGACTTTTAATCCAAGGGTCCAGGGTTCAAGTCCCTGCTCGGGCGATCCAAATTTTTTTTTTAAATTTCAAGCTTTTTTATAAATTAAGAAAACTTTACTTAAATATGTTTTATTGTATAATTTTTAAGATAAGCTAAAAACAACAGCCTTATTTATCCAACAAAAAAGGAAAACTGCATCGGCCGGGAATCGAACCCGGGCCGCCCGCGTGGCAGGCGAGCATTCTACCACTGAACCACCGATGCTTCATGCTAAAGGCTTGATCATATAAAAATGTTTACAACTAATGCTACGTTGCCAAGTTTAATTTTATAAAAAAGACACATTCGAGACTTAACAATATAAGGTTATTATACTTTGCATACATGGTTGTGTGATAGCATAAATTCGACTTATTTAAAGTTTTGGGCTAACAAATTGCTAAGCATATGCCCGGGTAGCTCAGTCGGTAGAGCATTGGACTTTTAATCCAAGGGTCCAGGGTTCAAGTCCCTGCTCGGGCGGCTGACGTATTTTTTATGAATTATTATTAAGAAATTCTCTATACAAAAATGTGCAGGGTACATGACTAACTACATGAGCTGAAAAACATTGTACATTGAATTGTAATAGCACTCATACTCTAAAATTCGGGTTTTTTGAAATGGGTTCATACTGGAAAATATGTGTCATATTATAGTCTTTCATAAAGTTTTGACTGTTTTCAAAGATGGCTATTAATTTCGACATTCAAACATTCAATGTTGTTTTACTCAAAACTAAGTTTTTTGATTTATGCCGGTTTTGTAATTAAATGAGCAATATGTTAATTCCAAAGAAGCCCCACGTCGCAGAGCACAAGCTTTGTTTTATTTAATAAAAAAGTCAGATTTGCATCGGCCGGGAATCGAACCCGGGCCGCCCGCGTGGCAGGCGAGCATTCTACCACTGAACCACCGATGCTTCGTGAATCTATTTGTTAATATATAATTTTCTAAAAGGCTTAAAATATATATGCATGGATATGTAAAAATATCGTATACAATTTTCCTGCTATGTTGCCACGTTTAAGTTTGCACTTTTTGGTGCATATCAATAAAAAAGCATTCGAGACTTAGAAAATAAAATTATAAATTATTTAATTACTGGCCTGTTCATGCTGATGCAAATAAACTGTCGAGCATTTTATGCATAGACTTTTACTTTCGTTCAAAAATGAGTCAATGATAATAATGTTCATGAAACAAATTAAAATAAAATATGTATAAACATATTTGCGAACATCATGATCAGGACAGGACCTTTTTTGAAGTACATAAAAGGAAATGATGGATGGAATGATATACTTTTTATGTATTATAAATTTTAAAGATGTACATGGTAAGTGCGTATTACGTAAGCCCGGGTAGCTCAGTCGGTAGAGCATTGGACTTTTAATCCAAGGGTCCAGGGTTCAAGTCCCTGCTCGGGCGGGTTAATATTTTAAATTTTATTTTACAAAATTTATATGATTTTTTTTTTTTTTTTTGTAAAATTTGTTTAAATTCAATAATTTATGAATCCGTTGGAAAAGGCATTGGTTGTGAATGCAAAATATGATTGCATCGGCCGGGAATCGGACCCGGGCCGCCCGCGTGGCAGGCGAGCATTCTACCACTGAACCGCCGATGCTTCGTGACAACATTTTTATGGATTTGATAGATGTATAAAAAACATTAAATCCAAGAATTTATGTAGAAAGGATACATTGGGTTGATCACTGTAAAAGTATTAAAGATATTTTACATCTTTGTGATTTTGCAAGGTTTTTAAAAGAAATTTTATACCTTTACTACTAAAGTTAACGTGGTACTGTTATAACAAACCTCATATACAGATGTGTATGACCGGTAATATTTTATTTAAAATTTTATATGTAATCCTTATGCGGTTTCAAAGAAATTCCCATTTTTAAAACATATCCTTGAAAAAGACTTCAAAAACAAGCATCCTATGTGTCTTCTTAAAATATTCATTTTTAGACTATCTGCTTTATGTGCCCGGGTAGCTCAGTCGGTAGAGCATTGGACTTTTAATCCAAGGGTCCAGGGTTCAAGTCCCTGCTCGGGCGATTACAAATTTTTATATAAATTTCTATTATAAAGGATATCAATAATAATTAAATTATAATTAAATATCAAATACTTATATCCTTTTAGGGTTTTATATCAATTAAAGCCTAACATAAGCCTTCAATTAAATAATAAATTTAAGGAATCCTTAATAAGGATTTCATTTTATTCGAATTAAAAAATTTGTTCCATCTGGCAAATTCCGTTTATACCAGCTTTTGTTTTTAATTTTATATGTAATCACAAAATCTTATCCTTGAAAAAGATTTATCAAAAAAACAACCAGATAAATCCCATGTGTCTTCTTGAAATAAGCATTTCTACACTATCCACTTTATGTGCCCGGGTAGCTCAGTCGGTAGAGCATTGGACTTTTAATCCAAGGGTCCAGGGTTCAAGTCCCTGCTCGGGCGACTATTAACTTTTTATAGAATTATTAAACATTTGGGAAATTAAATTGTTAATTAAAGCGTATCTATTCGATTTGTATACAGAAGTTATTGTTGTCATCCTCAGCATTCGATTAAATAATATGTATTTTAAAGTATAAAAAAAGTAGAATTGCATCGGCCGGGAATCGAACCCGGGCCGCCCGCGTGGCAGGCGAGCATTCTACCACTGAACCACCGATGCTCCATAAATATCGCGAGCATAAATAAAACCCGTAAGATCATAAAATTTTGAATTTAAATTGAAATCTGAATGGGGAATTTGCTTTCCGAATAATAATTTTTTAATTAATATGTATTTAGGTATTAATGAAGTCAGGCTAGATATTATTGCAAATCCCCTTAATTAATTTATAAGTATGTGTTCATGATTTTAATATTTTACAAAATTTTTAAGCCATTTCCATCCGAAAAGAAAAGTAAAATATGTGGTGCAAAAAAAATTCCTATTCCTCAAAGAGAAATTTTGATGTGGAATTTTGCTTCGCGAATGATCATAATTCACCCTTTAAGCAATAATTTTGGGATTATGTTCAAAATTGTTATAATATACATAATAGAAAGAATTCTACAGCTGAGAATTTTCAAAATCCGGGTCACATTAACTATTTAAATCCTATGTGCCCGGGTAGCTCAGTCGGTAGAGCATTGGACTTTTAATCCAAGGGTCCCTGCTCGGGCGAGTTTAATTTTTTTTTTGGTTTTTCAACTTTATAAATTTTCGGTCCATAAACATTGTAAAACAATTAAAGATATTTAACAATAATTTTAAGAAACAAATGTAAAAAATTTATATTGCATCGGCCGGGAATCGAACCCGGGCCGCCCGCGTGGCAGGCGAGCATTCTACCACTGAACCACCGATGCCTGTATAACGGTACTTTTTCGCTCTCTCAGAAGAGAGTGTTATATTTATTTATTTGGGAATTTAATAAGAAATTAAAAATTACAATGATTGTATTTGTACATACAAATTTAACGTATGTATCTTATCATTTAACTCATAAACATTTTCTGAAATACATACTGTTTTTAAGACTTGCCGAAACAAATTAAAACTTTGATCACTTGAACTTTTAATTTTCATAAAATTTTTAACATTTCATTTTCATATGAATTAATTTGTCAATTTTTCTTTTACAAACATAAAAATGTAATTAAATTAAATATATAAATTAATAAATTAAAAACTCATAAAATAAAATAATTATTAACCAGCTACACATTGACACTTTTGAAGCATTTATGAATGCAAGTAGTTTTCAAATGAAAATGTTGAGATTTTTTAATTGTAGGCGGTGAGACGTGTTGTTAAAAATATCATTAAATCTAGACAATATTTCAGTGAATTGAAAATATTATTATGAATGAATTTTATAGCCATAGAGCTACATACATATGTACTTACACTAGTAAACTTTGAAATTAATAAATAAAAAAAATATTATATGAAAAAAACTAGTTTTGATCAATTTTTTCTAGAATTTAGTGTTGTAAATTTGGGTTACTTATTTTGTTAAAATGCAATATAAAAACTGTCAAATTGAGTAATTGATAATGTAATAAAACATTATCCATCATTATTAGTTATTTTATTGGCATTTTTTTTATTTAAAGAAAGATTAATTTGTTTTAAAATTTATTGCAGTTTTAGGAAAGAATCCTAAAATAACAATTGTTTAGAATTTTACACGGAGATGCAGAATTAAATTATATTATCTTTAGATTCCTATATTTCGATAAAACGTTTTCACTCTAAACCCCAATATCTCAACCTATGGTATCTATACTGCCGTTACGAAATTTGTATGAAATCAAAAAAATTTAATTGAAAATAATTTTGTATTTGCTCTTTTCACTAATTGAAAAGAATAAAATTTTATATTTTTTAACACAATATATTTGCTTTTATCACTTTTACACCTCCTCAATGATTTATGATAGAAAACTTAGAAAACCCACACCAATTTAGCAATTTACTACGTTTACAACAACATGATTATGAGTAATTCTTAATTAATTATTTTTTTTGCAAACTTTAATTGCAGAGATAAAATTGAACGATTTATAGACGATAACAAGGCCTTAATGCGGCGCATGTATGGTGACTTCGAAATGAATATGAGCGATGGTGGGCCGCGACAACAAACGAAAAAACGCAAAAGACGGTTTATAGATGAACCCGATATTTTCCTACCACCGGGTGTATTTCCCACATTTGTACCCGACGACAAGGTGGAGGAACATGCCGAGGAACAGGGAGAAAGTTATTTCGGTAAATTACGCAATAAACGTCAGACCAATCAGGGTAATCGTAATGCTAAACAGGCCACAAATGCTCCCGGTAATGGTTCAACGTCAACAGGAAGGTAATGTTTGTAAATAGTTTTTTTTTGGAATATAAATGGATTTACTTTTTTATGTTATTACAGATTAGATGCTTGTGAATCAAAAATCGAAATAGTTACACCCTATTGGGCTTCGAATTCAGCTGGTAAAATAAGAGCCATTGTAAATACCCAGCATTTTGAACAGGCCATACATCAGGAAATATGCTCGTAAGTAAAATTAAGTTAAAAGGAATTTTGGTTAAAGTAATTTTCTGAAGGGGGCCTTATTAGGGGGGGGGGGGGGGGTGTAGGGTCAATTATGGAGCGATTCTCATAAAATTCGGTAGAGAGATTTGTGCACGTAAGAAACTTACTTATGTCGAATTTCAGCACTATACTCGTATTTTCAAGCCAGTAGGGAGCGTTAAAGTCCCTTTCTGAGGGAGACCTAATATGGGGGATGGAGTCAATTGTGGACCGATCCTCATAAAATTTGGTAGAGAGATTTTAACTTATAAGAAACTTGCTTATGTAGAATTTCATCGCTATACTCTTATTATTAAGGCAGTAATGAGTGTTAAAGTAATTTTCTAAAGTGGGGGGTAGGGTAAATTATTAACCGATCCTCATAAAATTCTGGAGGGGATCATATATAGGGTCAATTACGAACCGATCCCCCAAAAATTTGGTAGAGAAAATTTGGCTCATATGAATCTTGTTTATGTCGAATTTCATCGCTATATTCGCATTTTTAAAACAGTTATGGCTGTTTTACGCGAGGGCTCTTGTATGGGGGCTATGAGAAAACGTGCACCTATAAGAAATATTTGAGGAAAATTTTAACTCTCTAGCTCTGTCCGTTCGGACTCTGTTGTACTTTCAACAGACGGATGCACATACAAAGGCAGATCGTCTTAGAATTTAATAAGGACCCAGAATACATATATATACTTTAATAGGTCTATGATCAATATTTTGATGTGTTACAAAATCAATAAAATAAAAAGTACTTAGTACGACTTACAAAGTGGTGACAATGTGATTACGTTGAAAGTTTAAATGCAAATAGATTAAAATGACAATTTTATTATTATTGATCCAAAGTCATCCATATATTAGGGTTGTATAGGAAGTCGACTATTAACAAAGTAGATATATAAATCGATCTTGTAATTTATAAATAAAAGTAGATAAGTTGAATTAAAGAAAGTTCAAAAGTCTTAAATTTCAAAACGTCTAGAATTTTCCATCATAAAGCCCCATTGAACAGTCTTCTATTTATCAATATGAGTATTTAAAAAAACAAATTGTTGAATTCAGACCCGATAAATAAATTTGTTTAAAAACCAATTAAGTCGATTTAGATTAACTTTTTTTCTGTTGATACGTTATACATAATTGAAAACTTGAAAACGAATTTAAAAGCTATTGTTGTGTATTTACATTTAAAATTATTCAAAACTATTTTTTTTTTCGTCTTACAGAAAAGCTCATACATCACGCTGTCAAGGTGAATGCGGCTGTGAGCAGAAATACAAATGGCATCGTTTATTGGCCTATGATCCAGACAATGATTGCAAGGGTATTTTTATGGATTGGTTTTTGTTTCCCTCATGCTGTGTCTGCAGATGCAATCCCTAAGCAAAAGCCACAACAGCAACTACTACAACATCTTAGTGACATTTTAATAGACTTTAGTTAGTTAGAAGTTAAGATATGCATTATGTTTAAATGAAAAGAGTTTTTTTTAATTTTTAAAATGTTTCCTTAAAAGTTTAAATTCTTATAGCATTATAAGAAAATTAACAGAAAATATTTAACTATTTCTTAATAAAGTTTAAATTTTATTGAAAGACATAAAAAAGAAACAGAAAAACTTGTATTTTAGTTGTTTAAGAGTTAAATAAATAATTTCAAATTAATAAAAACCTAAAGAACAAATAAATATTAAAAAAAAATTAACCAAAATATTTGTTCAATTTATTTGTATTTGTTTTAAGTCATGAGACCTTAAAAGGTTAATTTGTTTCATTGTCAAATTCTAAATATAAAATTAAGTAAAGATAATGTTAAAAAAAATAATGTATTTTGTATTTGCTAAGAATTGAATTAATTTTAGTTTTAAAGTGCTGCTAGTTTTAATAATTCTCGTAATAAAAACTCAAATAAATTCATTCCATTCATTGATCACAAAATATGAAAATAGTTTTTTGGTGTTTTATTGTGAGTCAGAGGATGCGAGACCACGTGTAAGTTAATTAACTATGTTCTGTATTAAGAATGTTCTAGGGTCATAGATTAGAATAGAGTAATTGTCAACACGAACCACATGCCCGGGTAGCTCAGTCGGTAGAGCATTGGACTTTTAATCCAAGGGTCCAGGGTTCAAGTCCCTGCTCGGGCGATCTGACTTTTTTTTTAATTATTTTAGAAATATTTTATTAAATTTTATAGATATAAAAACAAACAGCAAATTTTTCAGGGAAATCTTTTTGTTTCAAAAGATCATTTCAATTCTGTCTAATTTTAGTACTAGTACTTCAATTTTCTATGAATTTTAAAAAAAAATGGTATTGCATCGGCCGGGAATCGAACCCGGGCCGCCCGCGTGGCAGGCGAGCATTCTACCACTGAACCACCGATGCTTCTTGGAATTGATAAGACTAAAATTAGTTTTGTTAAAGTGGCTCCATGAAAAACTATTATAAATATTTCCAGTTACTAAAAAACCACAAGTATCTTTTAGATACAAAAACTATTAAAGAAGCTGGTGCAGTTTTTTTAGGATAAAATTACGAACAAGTTAATTTTTTATTGTATCTAGCTGGAACATTATTAGAAATTTTTAAGTTTACATTACGGATTACAACATATATTTGTTAAATCAAACCAACAAGCATCGGTGGTTCAGTGGTAGAATGCTCGCCTGCCACGCGGGCGGCCCGGGTTCGATTCCCGGCCGATGCAACTTACTTTTTTTTTTAATTAACTAAAAGGACTGGCGGGAAAACGGTTCCAAAATGGAAGAGTAAATGATATTGTATTGTCATCATATCTCCCCGCCGTTTCTCTAATTTCTTAATATTATTAACTAGTTTGAACCTTTAATTTGTCGCCCTGCGCACAAAAAGGGATTTTAGAGTCAAACAAAGTTCCATATCATCGGAATATGTATATTTCTAATTACATATATTAATAACGAAAAAGGTTCCCATAAACATAGTTTTATTTTAAGTTGACGTATTCTTGAGTCTTCTTCCTTATTTGAAAGTTTTTAGCATGTTTCCAGGGGAGTAGTTTTGCGATTACCTTAATTCTGCAACTACTTTCAATATAATCAGAAAAGCGATATTAAAGCAAACACTAGAAGTGAAAATTTAGTCGAAACTGATTAGAAGTGGAGTTCATAAAAAAGAAAGGGTCGTGGTTTTCTCTCTGCAATGCTATCAACATTAATTGGAACATATGAATACTTAAAAAAAGATTTAAAAGATCCGAATGTGATCAAAATGTCGAAAAAAACTATCTCGCCCGAGCAGGGACTTGAACCCTGGACCCTTGGATTAAAAGTCCAATGCTCTACCGACTGAGCTACCCGGGCACATGGAGAGGTGGAAACTAATACGTTATTTATAACGGACTAAACATATGCTAATGTTGATAAAGGTGAAATTCTATGGTGTAAAAGCTGTTATGGTGTTTGTATTAGCTAACATGGAGGAAAACCTTACTTAAAATAAAATTAGTACTAAAAGTGGTGAGAATAATTGATAAAATACTAAAGCATGTTTTAGCGCGAAAGTAAAATAAAATGAGTTTATAGTTTCAAACTATTAAATTGTTTCTTTTAATTATTTAAAAAAATATAGTGGAAAAATTTAGTTAAAATTTAATAAAATTCATATGAATTGTTTATATATGTTTCATAAAAAATTCATTCATGTTTCCGCCCGGGATCGAACCGGGGGCCTTCCGCGTGTTAGGCGGATGTGATAACCACTACACCACGGAAACACATGGTGATGAGTGAGATGGCTAAGGACTAGTACCGCCGATTTTAATTAAAGTAGTGGTCATTGTGCTCTTAGTAGCCTATTTGGTATTTATTACTAGAAAGGGAGCTTATCAATACAATAAGTTATTTAAAATGTACCTATTTAAATAAATTTAATTTTTTCAGGTTTTTATATTTAAATATATTGTACATACATACATAGACTTAAATCAATTTATATAAGAAAAATCAATAGATAATTAATTTATAGTTAGTGATTAAGAAAAAAACATTTTTTGGATGGGAGTAAAATTGTCTTATCAGGAAGATGGGTGGATATATCGTCTTAGGATAAAATTCATATATAGAAATAATATAATTCTGTAAGTCTAACTCAGTTTTTAAATATTTTTTGAGTATTTATCATATAAAATATGAAAATAAAATTTCCTTCCGAGATTCCAATAAAAATTTTTTAAACATGTTACAAATGGAAAGACAAAAGTTAAATCTGAATTCTACAAAAACAAAGCACAGCCATCAAATAAAACTAACTTTTACTAACAACATTGCATTTTTTTTGATATATCACAGACCCATTAAAAAACGACATTAAACATTTCTTAAAGTCAAAGTTCTTGTGATAAAAAAAACAAAACCATCAAAACTAGATCAATAACTGACAAAACTGATGACATAAGTATAAAATATAGTACAAACATACATATAAAGCGAAAAAAGACAATTTGTGTTACACTGCAGCTGCCAAGGCTAAATAAACAAAAGGAGTCATCATCAATATGGCTGAAATACATACTTATTCCTACTGCTTATCACCAACAACCAGAGACAACAGACGCGAAAATTGTTGCAAAAAAACTGAAAAAAGTAATTTCCAGTAGTTTTTACAATGTAAATGTCATCGTTTAGTTTTATTTTCTATATTTTTAATACAAAAGATAAGAAAATGACAAAATGTGCAATGACAGGAAGATGATGATGATGACACGCGCCAAAATCAACAACATAACTAAATTTATATAGAAAATCAAATACTTATAATCCTAAGATATTTTAAGCAGACAATGTGTATGCGTTTAGGTGGGTGGGTGTGTGTAATGTTAAAGATTTCAAAGTTTAATCATCCTTAAACAATTTGTATTGATACGAGTATTACGACTATAAATCCAACCAACCACCCATCCTTCCCTTTTAAAAGACAAAAGCCCACAGATAGGAAAAGCTAAATTTTAAGTTTTAAAATTTTGCTTTGACTTTTGCCATAAAAGACCACAACGCTTTTAGGGCTTTAATAAATTGTGGTACTTACTTCAATGTCTTAACATTTATATCTATTATGGTTCAGTCATCATTATCCAGTTGCAATAATCTCCGGTTTTCTTCTTGGTCTACTGTTTTTTTATTAAACTATTGTTTGATTGTAATGAGTTGTCGCATTTAATAGTGTATTTCTATTTCCTTGTATTATCATTTATTTTTATGAGTGTCCTTCGACCAATATGAGTCTGCAATCAGACAACCAATAGTTAACCCACCACAACACTTAAAGGGAAAGTACATAAATGACTGTTATTTGCTTTTTATCGCAATTGTTTGGTTCTTCTGTGTCCTATAAGGAAAAGTGTTTAACCACATTGCAACCCTCTCTTAATTGCTGGTATTTTCTGTTCTGTTATTTGTTGTTGAGATGTTCAACAACTAATAATGACAAAATATTGAGGGGAACATTTATTTTACATTCGATGGTGAGTTAAAGAATTTAATCATTAAAAGTAATTAATTTTCGAAGGAACTATTATTATACCAAAGATAGTTTAAAAGAAATCCTTCATACACCAGCTTTCCTAAGAAAATTGTTAACTTTACTGACTCACTGACTGACTGATTCATCGTCGCACAGCCTAAGCGGTTGAAGCTAAAGAGATGAAATTTGGACAGGAGGTTGGTCTCCCACCAAATAGTACCATTAACACGGGATTTTTTCGAATGTTTAGGGGGTAAAAACGGGTAAATTCGGTAACCTCATATCTCCTAAACTAGAAAAAATACAAAAACAGTTTAAAGCTTGTTCATTTAAAAAATAAGCAGACAGGTGTCTGGTACTTTTTTAAAATTCGGTCCCTTTAGGGAATAAACGGGTAAAAACTGTATTTTGGCACTTTTTTTGCACCCCATGTATCTTTTAAACCAGTGAACATACAAAAGATATTTTTGACTCCTTCATAACTTAACGAAAAAATAAAAATACGAATTTAGTACTTTTTGAATATTCAGTCGTTTAAGGGCTGAAAATTGTACCTATTTGTGGTACTTTTTGCATAAAACATTGTTTCCTATGTATTGATTTGTAAATGTGAATGAATATTTAATGATGGGCTCCCACTATGATATTGGAACTTTTCGGAATACAATGTTTATTACTTCAATAGGGAGAAAAAAGTACCAAAAGGTGGAAAAAAGGAAAAATTAATTTTATTCAAACTCATTGACCCAATTTTAATAAAATTGGAGAAATTGGTAGATTTAGTAACACTAAATATGCCAATGGGGTATTACTTGGAACTCCAGCACAAAGGAATATTTTTTGTATTTTTTAGTTTTTGAACTGGTACTTTTTGAGATTTTTATAATATCAATCCTAGAAACATGGAATTAAGTATGTGGAGCCCGGAGTTAATGAGATTCTATAAAAGGGAAATTTTTGGTACTTTTTCGTTTCTTAAATTGTATTTTTTTTTTAATTTTCTATAATAATGAACCTAGAAACAAGAAATTAAGCATGTAGAGCCCAGAGTAAATGAGATCGTATAAAATGGGACCTT